CTCATGTCTTGTTCTGTGGTACCTTAATACACCTCATCAAGGCTCACTGCCAAGCGCCACAGTGGGATATCAATAAAGAGGGAGGCCTTACTTATCTGTTTTTTTTTTTCTTTTAATTTTTAATCATTATAGAGAATGGGACAGGTTAAGAGGAAAGAACCAACCACATATAAAACAAAACAGATCTAAAACATTTTTCTTCTGGTAAAACAATGTTGTTTTTCCAACCATATCTATGTGCAGAACTTTGGCTAAATCCCTCAGGCACAGGGTTCACACAAGAAACCAGTTACTATGATGAAATTTGTGCAAAAATGGAAGATAGGCAAAACTACACGATGATGATCAAAGGCTGAATAGTGATTACTGTAAGAGCAGAACTTTTTTGGGGGCGACACCCTGAAATCTAGTGTTTGATCTCGATAGTTATAATCATTCCTAGCATTTCACTGATTTATACAGATCACACTTCATGCAAATTATAACTCAATAAAAAAAACTAAGAAATAAGAAATATTTGCATAATTTTTTTCCTTTTAGTTTAAGGTGGTGAGTGACACCATTCAGCAAGCAAATCAAGAGGGAAGACAGCCAGGACCTTAATCCTAGCTATTCTAAAACAGAAGGGGGAGGTAGCATGTGAAAGTTCATCTCTCTGGGTCAGCATTTCGTGCTCTGGAATAGGGTGAGGCACTATCCCCTGTAACTCTAAGCTGCTGGAGATAAATAATAACACAGATCGAGGCGACGTCTGCAAGCGCAACATAGAAGTAAGGAGTTACATAATAGTAAACTGAGGAACAGCTCCTACGATGTAACCTGCAATGCTGGGGAGCAGAATTACCCTCCCGAAAGTTCTTCTAACATAATTCCCAAGGTGATTAGCTGTGGCTAAACGAGGACACTCAGGGAGAAAGAGTGGGAATCTGCTTACCGAGACGTCTTAAGACTTCGGCAGCAGCACATACGACGTTGACAACATGAGAGAAGACGGCCTTGTGGCCTGTCCTCTGTTTGCTTGGGGCTCTAATCAATGGATCTTTCAATCATTCTTTACCTCTCCTGACAGAAAAAACCATGCAGCAATGCTGCACTCTGACAGCCGTGACAATGTGATCTAAATTAAAGGAAGTGTGCAGAACAGGAATAGGAAATAAAAATGCAAGTTTATAATTTATCTCGGATGCTGGGGAAAATAAATTCAACACAATAAAGGCTACAGAGGAAAACATTTCTGTGACTTCAATATGAGCAGAGATTTCTTTAACAGGATACAAAATGTCTTATCTTCAAAACAATAGTCATTTGGGGCTTACTAAGTCTGTTTGGTAAAATGTATTATCAGGAGAGCAAAAGGCAATGTGTAGAGTGGGAGATCTGTCCTCTAACCATCTTTCTATCAAATGATCAACTTATTGTCTATGTATTTATGATCTGATCTACCATCTGTAGATCAGTTGATCAATCTGCTATCTAAAACCTACTGATGATCTATCTATCACAAAGGAGTTACATGTAGGTATATGAAGAATTCCTCTTAAGCAATAGACAACGTACAAACTAATGAAGGTTGGAAAACAGATTTAAACAACTAGGATACAAAAGAGGCCCAGTCCTAGCTATTGCAAATGGAAAATTTCCTTCTTTCCGTCACTCTGCCTTTCAAATGATAAGAATAAAATAATTTTTAAAATAAATCTTTTATTTCTTATTCTTAACAGATCTGACAGGAAATTGTTCATTAAATATTATAAAAGAAACACTAGGTTTAGGGGCTGGCATTGTGACACAGCAGGTTAAGCCACCGCCTGCAATGCCAGCGTTCCATGTGGGTGCCAGTTCCAAGTCCTGGCTGTTCCACGTCCAGTCCAGCTCCCTGCTAATGCACCGGGGAACGCAATGGAAGATGTCACAAGTACTTGTGCCCCTGCCACCCGCATGGGATACCCAGAAGAAGCTCCTGGCTGCTAGATTCAGCCTGGCTGAGCCTTAGCCATTGCAGCCATTTGGGAAATATCCAGCAGGTGGAAGATGAATTTCTCTCTCTCTCTGTAATTCTGCCTCTCAGATAAATAAATCTTTATAGAAAGCAATATTAGATTTAGTGATTAAGCTTATAGCTAAGTAAACTGAATATAGCAATGCTACAAGGGATGGAAGGGAGCAATTAGAGATACTTTGTTCTGAGGTACTTGCATCACCAATACTGTGCTGTAGTATTATTTGAAAGTGGGGTTGGATTTGTTGTAAATGCACACTGAAAAGGCAGGGAGTAAAACCAGAAGTATAATGTAAAGGCTAAGAGAGGAGAGAAAAATCGAATCATACAAAAGATTAATGAAAGAAAGCAGAAAAACACTCTCCATAGAAGGAAAAAAATTACAGTGGACTTCATTAAAATTAGAAATTTCAGTTATGCAAAAGAGACTGAAAAAAATGAAGACAGGCCACAAACTGGGACAAAAATATTTTAAAAATATGTCAGATAAAAGAGTGATATCTAAAATATACAAAGCACTCTGAATATTCCACAAAAGAAAACACAACAATTAAAAAGTGGGCAAGGGGCCGGTGCTGTGGCACAGTGGGTTAACGCCCCGGCCTGAAGTGCCGGCATCCCATACGGGTGCTGGTTTGAGACTCAGCTGCTCAACTTCCAATCCAGCTCTCTGCTGTGGCCTGGGAAAGCAGTGGAGGATGGCCCAAGTGCTTGGGCCCCTGAACCCATGTGGGAGACGCGGAAGAGGCTCCAGGTTCCTGGCTTCAGATCAGCACAGCTCCAGCCAACTGGGGAGTGAACCAGTGGATGGAAGACCTCTCTCTCCTCTCTCTCCCTCTCTGCATAACTCTGACTTTCAAATAAAATAAATAAATCTTTAACAACAACAAAAAAGAGGAGTTACAAAAAAAAAAGGGGGGGGGGGGAAAGATCTGAATAGATACCCTAGCAAAGACAGATAGATTGCAAACAAGCATGTGAAAAGAGGCTCCACACCATGCCATTAAGAACTGCAAACTAAAATGATGACTTACTACAATACATCTATTAGAATAACCCAAATCTAAACAGTGACAGCACCAGAGGCTGGTGAAGATATGGAGCAATGGGCGCTCCTTTTCACTACTGATGGGAATGCAAAATGACGCAGCCAGTGTGGAAGACGGCACTTGGCAGTTTTTTGTGACATCAAACCTGCTCCTGCTGTAGGACCCAGTCATCACGTTCATTCCTTGGTGTTCACCCAAATGTGTTGAAAACTGACATTCACGAAAACCTGCACGTGAATACTCCGGCAGCTCTATTCATAATTGTCGACACTTGGAAGCACCAAGATATCCTTCAATAGGTGAAGGAATAAACAAGGTGCAGTGGGATTTGATTCGGAGATAAAAAGAAACGAGCCACAATGCCACGAAAAGAGGGAAAACGAGTCACACATTGACAAGTCAAAGAAGTCACTCTGAAAAGGCAACATTCAACATACTCCCAACCACGTGACATTCTAGAAAAGGCAAAACTATGGAAATAGAAAAAAATATCATCAGTTGTTACTAGTGCGAAAAGAAAAAGAAAAGGGGTGATCAGGACAAGCCGGGGGGCTGTCAGCACAGAGCAGCTGTTACTCTGCACAGCACCACAGTGGTGGATATATGCTGTGGACATTTCACACAGGATGCACAAAGAATGGACCCTCACGGGGGGATCCATACTATCTCATCCACTGCAATGAACGCACCACACTAATGAGCAAGCTATTCAACTAGGAAATGGCTGGGGGGAGGTGGCTAAGGGGACGCATGGGAACTCTCTCTACTTCCTGCTCTATTTTCCTATAAACTTAACACCGTTCCCACTAGAATGAAGTCTGTTAATTAAAAAAAGAAGCTATATATGTATGTGTGTGTATATATATACACATATGTATATACAAATTATATATATATATTTATATATATAGAGAGAGCGAGCATACACAGTATTCTCATGTTAATGAAACTGACTGGTTTCTCTGAGAGAATGAGAATAACAGGAAGAGTTTAGGTTTAATTATATGTGAACTTTTTTAAGTATCATGATTTTGAGAAAGTTTCAAATGACACAACAGATTTTTACAATAAAATGTTGATAAAAATACAGCACCATAAAGAATGAACACAGTTAATTTTAATAGTAAAGATTTATCTACCCTAACAGTCCATATTCTGTCAAATGTCCTCCATTGCTATGACAAATTACAAGTGAAATACTGGCTGGTTCTTCTTTCTTTCTCTTTCGGTCTTTGCTTCTTTACAGTTCTTCCATTTCATTTTTTAGCATTTATTCATTTATTTGGGTAGGTAAGAGATATTAAGAATAAATGTAGCTTTAAGATGACCAAACCTCACTACCACTGTGTTTCTACCTTTTGTAGTTGTAAAGTAACAGGGGAAAATGTTTCACTGTGGCAAGCCAGTCATCTAGAAACCAATAGCTTCATCAAATTAGGCCACATTTTCATGGCTAAATAACAAAGTTAAATTGCACCAGGTAAATGCTGGGTGCTAAAAGTTCAAAGAGAGGCCTTGTTTATGGCCAAAGAAATCAATACGTCTACAAGCATGGGCAGCAAATGATGTGCTCCAGAAAGCCCACCTAGCAGGTCTATGAACTGAACACATAAAAACAAAGGTAATGTCCTCTGGTAGACTGGAACCTTGCTGTCGCATTTGTAGGGTTCAGCCCCTAACTGGGCCAATACAACTTATCTGAATAGATGGACGAACCTCATTTTCCACCAAGAGGGGAGAATGACCGGTGCGTTAAACGATGTTTTGCTGTGATTTGGCAACACTCCCCATGGGCTCAAAGGCAACGTGCATGGGAAATGAGGCGAAGCAGGATGAAAACAGATTTTACCAAGTTCAAAGCACTTCTGCCAGATGTGGAGAACTGGCCAAAGTGTCCTCTCCAAGAGGATTTAGCTGAGTGGGGATTGCCGCTGAGAGAGCAGACCTCCTACCTTACGAAATCTTCCTCCTCTTCTCTCTTCGGCCGCAGCTGTTTGGGCTGGGCCATGTTAATCCAGTTGGGTAGCGATTTCAAGAGTCTGCTGATGTCATCATCCTTTGCCCAAGACGCACTGATGACAAGCTTCTCTTCGGACTGGACAATGCTCCTAAACACAGCCAACAGAAGAGACTCCTTAGCACAACATTAGCTTCTATTTTTTATGAAAAATGAGTATCACACGAATCTCTCTTATTAACACAATCCATTATCTGAATTGAAAACACTGATATCCATTCAGAGGTCACATTACTGGAAAACATCACCTCTAAATTTCATTCTTAGTTTCTTTATTAGTGAGTAATCGTGACAACTGATAATATCAATTATTGCCCCATATCATAGTTAATCCCTTAGCATAAACAAAAGTGAATGGTAAATTTTAGGGCATATCTCAAGAAAATGTTAAATAAATAAAAAGTGGGGTGACCATGTAAAAGAACACTGTTAGAGGAGGGAGTCAGGTACAACAGTTAGGATGCTGCTTGGCAAAAGATACAGGGAAGTGAAGAGGCAACTGCCAGAGTGGCAGAAAATATTTGCAAACTACACAACTGATAAAGGATTAATAACCAGAATCTATACAGAGGTCAAGAAACTCCACAGTAACAAAACAAACAACCCAGATAAGAGATGGGCCAAGGACCTTAACAGACATTTTTCAAAAGAGGAAATCCAAACGGCCAACAGGCACATGAAAAAATGCTCAGGATCTCTAGCCATCAGGGAAATGCAAATCAAAACCACAGTGTTTTACTTCACCCCAGGTAGAGTGGCCCTCATACAGAAATCCACCAACAACAAATGCTGGATAGGATGTGGGGAAAAGGGCACCCTAACCCACTGTTGGTGGGAATGCAAACTGGTAAAGCCACTGTGGAAAACAATATGGAGAGACTTCAAAAATCTGAATACAGACCGACCATATGACCCAGGCATCCCACTCCTGGGAATTTACCCAAGGGAAATGAACTCAGTAAACAAAAGAACTATCTGCACCTCCATGTTTACTGCAGTTCAATTCACAATAGTTAAGACATGGAAGCAATCTAAATGCCTATCAACCAAAGACTGGATAAAGAAATTGTGGGATATGTACACTATGGAATACTACACAGCAGTAAAAAAGGATGAAATCTGATCCTTTGCAACAAAATGAAGCAAGCTGGAAAACCTCATACTTAGTGAAATAACCCAGTCCCAAAGAGACAAATACCATATATTCTCCCTGATTTGGGAGAATAGCATTCCTAAAATGAAAGCTATAGAAGCAAAATTGTCACTTATAGAATCAGTGTCTTCAATAGTTCTTGACCTGACTGTTGAGGAACAGTTCATCATTGTTACTATTAACTGTGTATATCCTCTTTGTTTTGTTTTGTTTGTTTTTTTCTATTTCCTTTCTTTCTCTCTCTTTTCTCTTCTTCATACTATATGCTGAACTCTCTATGTAACATAGAGTTAATCATATGAATTTTAAGGCAATTGGAAAAAGATCCCAGTAAAAAATAAGAGGGGGAACAAGAGATAGAGGAGGCAGTCTATAACTGTAAAACAGTCTAGTTCTGCACACAGTCATACAGACTTATCCTCAGGGTACAGCCTAAGAACTTGTCATGGGGCTCCAAACCCATAAAAATCAGTGATATAAATGCCGTCTTCACTGTTAAAATGATCATATTAAACATTAAAGGCAACATATAGATTGGTCTAAGTTTAAAAGTGATCATATATTTAGTTAAAAAGCCCATGAGAGTTTCTCAGGCATGGAAAGCCAAGACACTGTGGCAAAAAATGGCCTAAATGAAAGATCTCTGTGAGTGAGATCCCAGCGGAAAGAACGGGCCATCAAAGAAGGAGGTATCTTTCTCTGAAGGGAGGAGAGAACTTCCACTTTGACTATGGCCTTGTCTAAATAATGTTGAAGTTTGTGGACTCAAGAGGCTCAAGAGCTCATGACAAGAGCCTCGGGTGATTACTGACATCATAAATAAGAGTGTCAATTGTTAAATCAACAACAGGAGTCACTGTGCACTTGCTCCCCATGTAGGATCTCTGTCCTTAATATGTTGTACTATGAGAATTAATGGTAAAACTAGTACTCAAACAGTACTTTATACTTTGTGTGTCTGTGTGGGTGCAAACTGTTGAAATCTTCGTATAGAGTTGATCTTCTGTATATAAAGATAATTAAAAATGAATCTTAATGAAGAATGGGATAGGAGAGAAAGTGGGAGATTGGATGGTTTGTGGGTGGGAGGGTGGTTATGGGGGAAAAACTGTTACAATCCAAAAGTTGTGCTTTTGAAATTTATGTTTATTAAATAAAAGTTTTCTAAAAAAGGTGATCATATAAATAACATCAAGTACCCAGTAAAAATCATAGAATTTAAAAGGAAGAAAAGTCCAACATGGGAAGCAGTCCACTCAGCAGACTCCTAGAATGACGTTCACTGTAAATAACACTCTGATCTCAGAATCAGCCCTTAAGGCTTCCTGGTTGGGCTGAAAGGCCTGTGAGAGCATTTCAGGCATGGAAAGACAAGACTGTGACAGGATCTCTGTGAGACCTCAGTGGAAAGAAAAGGTCATCAAAGAAGGATATACTCTTGGCTGAAGGGAGGCGAGAACATCCACTTTGCTTATGGCTGTGTCCAATACCGATGGAGTCTGTGGTCACAAAAGGCTTCCATAGCCTTGGCAGCCCATGGCAAGAGCCTTGGATGATCACTGATGTCATAAATAAGAGTGGTAATTATTAAAGGAACAACAGAAGTCACTGTGCACTTGCTCCCCATGTAGGGCTTCTGTCCCTAATGAATTGTAATATGAGAATCGACTGCAAATTTTCTCCCCAAATTGTACTCTGTATGTTGTGTTATGTGTGTGTGGTGGGGTGCAAATTGTTGAAGTCCATGCTTAGCATGAAGTTGGTCTCTGTATATAAATATAAAGTCATACTAAAAATGAACCATAATGAAGATGGAGATGGGAGAGGGAGGTGGGATGGGACCTGGTGGTGGGTATGGGGGAAAGAACCTCTCTCTTTCTTTCTGCCTCTCCTTCTCTCTCTGTGTAACTCTGACTTTCAAATAAGTAAATCTTTAAAACAAAAGGAAAGAAAGGGAGGAAACCCTCCCAAATTTTTTCTATGAAGCCAGCATCACCTTAATTCCTAGACTTGAAAAAGATGTAATGAAGAAAGAGAACTACAGACCAATTTTCCTGATAAACATAGGTACAAAAATCCTCAATAAATGTCTAGCCAATCAAATCCAACAACACATCAGAAAGATCTTCACACAGACTAAGTGGGATTTCTTCCTGGTATGCAGGGATACCTCAACATTCCCAAATCAAGCAAGGTGATTCACCACATTAACAAACTGAAGAACAAAAACCATATGATTATCTCAATAGATGCAGAGAAAGCATTTGATAAAATACAACATCCTTTCATGAGTAAAACTCTAAGCAAATTGGGTATAGAAGGAACCTTCTTCAACACAATCAAGGCAATTTATGACAAATGCACAGCCAGCATTTTATTGAATGGAGAAAAGTTGGAAGCATTCCCACTGAGATCTGGAACCAGACAAGGATGCCTTCTCTCACCACTGCTATTCAATATAGTATTGGAAGTTTTAGCCAGAGCCATTAGGCAAAAAAATAAATCAAAGGCTTACAAATTGGAAAGGAGAATATCAAATTATCCCTATTTGCAGAAGACATGATTCTATATATAGGGGATCCAAAAGACTCTACCAAGAGACTATTGGAACTCATAGTAGAATTTAGTAATGTAGCAAGATATCATATTAATGCACAAAAATCAACAGCTTTTGTATACACAGACAAAACCATGGCAGAGAATGAACTTCTGAGATCAATCCCATTCACAATAGCTACCAAAAAAAAATTCAAATACTTTGCAATAAATTTAACCAAGGGTGTCAAAGATCTCTACAATGAGAATACAAAACATTAAACAAAGAATCAACATCATCAAAATGTCCATTCTTCCAAAACTACTTTACAGATTCAATGTGATACCAATAAAAATACAAAAGGCATTCTTCTCAAATATAGAAAAAATGATGCTGAAATTCATATGGAAACAAAGAAGGCCTCAAACAGCTAAAGAAATATTATACAACAAAAACAAAGCTGAAGGCATCACAATACCAGATTTCAAGACATACTACAGGGCAGTTATAATCAAACCAGCCTGGTTCTGGTACAAAAACAGTTGGATAGACCACTGGAACAGAAAAGAAATGCCAGAAATCAATCCAAGCATCTACAACCAAATTATATTTGACAAAGGAGCTAAAACCAATCCCTGGAGCAAGAACAGTCTCTTCAACAAATGGTGCTGGGAAAACTGGATCTCCACATGCTGACGTATGAAGCAAGACACCTATCTTACACCTTACACAAAAATCCACTCAATATGGATAAAGACATAAATTTATGACCTGATACCATCAAATTATTAGCAAACGTGGGGAAATCCTGCAAGACATTGGCACATGCAAAGAGTTCTTGGAAAAGACCCCAGAGGCAGTCAAAGCCAAAATTAACAACTGGGATTACATCAAATTGAGAAGTTTCTACACTGCAAAAGAAACACTCAGGAAAGTGAAGAGGCAACTGGCAGAATGGGAAAATTATTTGCAAACTATGCAACTGGTGAAGGATTAATAACCAGAATATATAAAGAGGTCAAGAAACTCCACAACAAAACAAACAACCCACTTAAGAGATGGGCTAAGGACTTTAATAGACATTTTTCAAAAGAGGAAATCCAACTGGCCAATGGACACATGAAAAAATGCTCAGGATCACTAGCCATCAAGGAAATGCAAATCAAAACCACAATGAGGTTTCACTTCACCTCAGAATGGTTTTCATACAGAAATCAACAAACATCAAATGCTGGAGAGGATGTGGGGGAAAAGGTATTCTAATCCACTGTTGGTGGGAATTCAAATTGGTAAAGCCACTGTGGAAGACAGTAAGGAGACCCCTCAGAAATCTGAATATAGACCTGCCACACGACCCAGCCAACCCACTCCTGGGAATTTACCCAAGAGAAAAGAAATCAGT